TATGCTGGGAGATCTTAGCTGAGCTGGACGTTCCTTACCTTGGGCACAAGGCTCTGAAAGTCAGCTGAGCCTGAGATGCAGTTTCTCCCTGAAAAGCCATCACTCGATCTGATGCACTGGAGCAGCCTCTGGCCTTCCTGGTCCAATTCCTCCACTGGAGCCTTTAGCACCTGCAGGAGAGTAGCTTCAGTGGCTTTGCACAGTTCAATCTAGAGCGATAATAAAGTCTCTGACTGTGTCTGCACCTTTTTCTTAAGCTGGGTGTGTTCGTCTATCAGTCGCCGAGAGCCTTCCACATCTGCAGGAAAGTCCTTCTTGGACAGGAGCTCCTGCAGAAGACAGGAAACACTGGTCATATCGGCCATAGCAGTTACTCCCATGCTTTGAGCCTTTGCTGCCCCCACCTGCAGATCCTCCAGTCTGGACAGCAGATGAACAGCGTTGGACATGAACTCCTCCAACGACACCCTGAGATCCATCCACTCCTCGTGGTTGTAGTCCAGCGAGCCTTCGAAGTCGTCTGTGAGCTGGGAGGGATCCACTAGCTTGGCAAGACCTTCAACCGACACCATGTTGGTCTGTTGACACAGACACAGGTTAGAGGTGAGTCCTGACTACCTGCTGTGCTTCCTGTTCTTACTACAGTGTAGTGACCGCAGCGTCTGTGCCACATATATAAATACAGTACTAATCTCTAATCATCTTACTGTTGATAAGGTTTCCTTTGAACGATCAAAGCCGTGTTGGGTAAAACGCACGAAGCCCACTGACCTCAAAAGAGAACTTTGCACTCCCGAAGTTCGTCTTCTGTTTCTGCCAAAAGTTGTCGGGCTTAATGATGAGAGCCACGCAGATCTCAGCTGGGAAAGACTCCTGCAGCGTCTTGAGCAGAGGCTTAATCAGCTCCCACTTTGAACCTCGCATGTCGATGATGACGGTGAAGCCACGTTTGCACACGTCCTCGCTGACGGGACACAGACAAACAAGCTGAGGAGGCAGAAGAGGCTCGGAGGAAATGATTAGTATCCCTGTTACACGAGACTTAAAGTGAACCAGTTGTCTGCTACAGAGATGTCTCAAAACCATCAGGTCCATCTGTGGTTGCCCCACAGACGGGGAGCGTCCTTGTTTCACTGGTGTCGTCAGCAGTCTGAATATGTTTGATATTTAAAAGAAACTTTCAGAGGGACATTTAGCAGAAGACGTCAATCTTATTCTGCTCTGCTGTGGTCTGTGAGTGACAGTCACACTCTAATCTGGATGATATATTCCAGCATGGACTATTTTCTGTTTGCAGAAGAAACTAAACACGCTGCAATAATAAAAGAAGAAGGGCTCTGCAGGAATGAAACGCGCTGTTTCTACGAGGGAGCATTATGTTTGCAGCTGAAACATAAGTAAGCAGGAATCAGGGGGATTTGTACTTTAATATTGAGTTTACAAAGTGATAGGGATGCAACGATACCAA